CGGCTCGGTTTCCCGACGGTCCCGTGCCGCTAGTGTGAGTGTCAGACGGCTCCGCGTCCTTGCCGGAACTCGCCCGCCGGGCTTCTGACTTTCCTGCCCGTCTAGTGGATGTGGAATGACACTCTACAGTGGATTTGCCCATGAAGACGTTGCTGAGGGACCTGCTCACACCTGTGCCCACTTCTATTGGGTTGTCTTTTTTCTTGATTTGTAGAAGCTACAGATAACGGCTTCTAATCCTGCGACGATTGTGTCGCACATACACTGACTCCGTTTGTGGCTTGTGTTTTCCGCTTGCTCTGTGGGGACTTGATGAACAGAAGCTCTTGACCTTAATGTCAACCAACTTGTCAGTCTTCTCACGATTTTCAGTGTTGATTCCTGACCTCATCGCTATCCCGAGGTCAGGAATATTCTTCTTTTGGTCTTAAAATCGTTTTGGAGTTGATCTTTATGAATGGAATAAAGTGGGTGGCAATCTGATTTCTCCTCTCTCTCCGGATGACTGTGGGGCTGCTGTTACTCACGTGTGCTCTGTTTCCCATGTCCGTACCTCCCCCAATACTTGACTTTTGAAACTGAGGCTTGGTAATGAGTCTTTGTATCCGAAGTGCCGGATATCCTTGCCTTATCTTGGCTGTGCTGAGCCTTGCTCTCTCATGTAAGATTTTACAGTAAGTTTGTAAATTCTCCAAAACGCCACTGACGTATTTTTGCAATTGTATTTTCGTCTGTAGACCCATGGGAGAATTGACATCCTTAGAATGTTGAGTTTTCCTATCCGTGAAATTGGTATTTCTCTCCATTTACTTAGGCTTCATTTTCTTTCAGTAAAATTTTATAACTCCCTTTTTTAAAAATTAGATTTATTTACTTAGATTTATCTTTAGAGCTTCCTTTCTGTAATCAGCTGTGGGACACTGGGGTCTGTGTCCCCTTCCCCTGGCCAGCAGGGTCCCCTCTGGCTCTGCCTCCAGGGGTCCTGGGAGAGTGGCCAGGAGGGAGGAGGAAGGTCCAGAGGAACTTCTCTCTCTTCACACGGGAAGGGGGCGGTGGAAGCAGACAAATGCCGAGGGTTCTGCTCGCGGGTGAACTGCTGGAGTGCGGCCACCTCCATTCGGTTCTGTGCAGGGGTTTTCTTCTGTCCGCTCGCTTGTTAAGCTTCTCTCTCTCCTTTACGCTTCAGAAGCCAGCGGGTCTGCCTGCGGACCAGGTGTCGGCTGCGATGCGGTGGCCCAGTCCCAGCCTGGGTGTCGTCTGCAGCCTCCTGGGCTTAAAACTTACACTTCGGTCTTGTCGCAAAGCCACGTGCTCCCTACCCACTCCCCCCAGATAAGGATTTGGAGCAGCACATATGTGACTTGTGCGAAGGGCTCGCCTCGTACGAGTGTGGAGGCTCCTTTGCTCTAGCAACGGACTGACGTTTGCCGCGTGCTCACCTCGGCTGTGGCCGCGCGTTCGAATGGCTGCTGGCTTCCCTTGCCCATCAGCCCTGGGCCCCCTGATGCTGGGCACTTAGGTGCCCGCATGACTCGTCTTCCTTGGCTCTTGCTCTACCCCCAGCCCTGTGCTGGGCAGGAGGTGTTCAGAGGACAGAGGGTCCGGCTTCCTGGGCCACTTTGTGCCCCGGGGGCGGGGGCGGGGGGGAACCAGCAGCCTCGGAGGGAGCCCCAGGGCAGCCCCGCAGCCGTTGCAGTTAGCGGTGGCCTCTGAAAGGAGGGGTCTGGGGGCCACGGCCAAAGGCGGGGTGGCGAAGCGGGTGCCCGGAAGGGTCTGGACGGCAGGGACCAGGCCTCACCCGCTGCGTGGCATCCCCTGAAGGGTGCTGAGCAGGGGTACCGGGCAGGTGTCAGGGAGCACATAGCGCAGGGCGGGGAAGGGGGAGGACCCCAGAGGAGGCTGGCCACCCCACACTGTCCCTGGGGCCAGGGGGAGCAGTGGTCTGGAAAGAGATGGCCGGGCTCCGGATACATTTTATAGATAGAATCAGCTTTTGCCTATTTTTTGAAAAAGAAATTTCTTAGACAAATTCTTCTCGAGAATGGGTCCCTGCTAGCAGGGAACCAGCCCGGTGAGCAAACAGCGGGAGGCAGAAGGCCGGGCGGGCGTGGACAGTGTCGGAGGGCCAGGGCCTGGGGTGCCGGCCACCAGGCCGGGACGCACCTGGGTCTGAACGGGAGCCACAAGGCTCCCCCCCCACCCCCAGCAGTGTCCCCGAGACCAGCATAGAGGCAGTGTACACAGGTCACCCAGCCCTGTCAGGTGACGAGCGGATCTTCTGTGCAACTTGATTTCTCAGCGGGAGCTCCCGGCTGAGCTCCAGCACGGTCCACGGGGGAGGCCCGTTGTGGCTCCCACAGCTTCACCAGGGGACCGCTCAGGGTGACGGCTTTCCACCTGCCGTCCCCTGGGCTCCTCTCTGGGGGTGTGGGTGTCGTGGTCACCTCTCTGTGCTCCTGCACCCATTGTCCCTTGTTACACTTAGCTGCTGTCCTGCTCCCCGCGCACAGCACCATCCGCTATGCGCACAGGAAGAGGGAGAGGTGCCTTTGCTGTGACAGCATGCAGACAGACGGCTTCTCTAGCTCTTGGTGGGATGTTAGGGCTCGTGAGGTACTTGTATTACTTCTCCCGGGGACTCCGAGCGGCGGCTGCAGGTGCGACCCTCGGATGTCCCGCCCTTTCTCTTCACACCTGCCCTTTATGCTGTCCCTGAGACAGTCCCTCCCTCCCTCCCTCCCTCTGCCTCCCTCCCTCTCTCTCTGCTTCCTGTCCTCCTTCCTGCCCTCCC